TTCACACGCGCAGGTACACACATAGAGAGGCACGCAGGAGAGCTCAAGCAGCGGAGCCACTTGGTCTCCGCGGGAGGTGGAGGGCCCGGCATCCGCAAAGGATGGCGAAACTCCTGCGAGTCCTGCGTCCGCTAACTCTGCGGTCTTTCCCTCCCCAGGGCCCTGGAACTGTAATCATCTCTGAATGGTTTCCCTTTTGAGCTGGGCAGCCGGGACTAGGGCCTCCTTCTCCTGGCTGTTATTGTTCCAGAACCTAAACCTCTGCGGGCACAAAGAAGATACAGAGAGAGTACCCGAATCTAGTTAAGTTATTTTAGCCGAGCAGAGAACTACACCGCCCACTCTTTCCCTTCCTGGCAGAAAAGGTGCAATCATAATATCATGGATTACTGAAAAAAGAAAAAACAACTCCTGCCTTCAGATCGACTGTTTTGAGGCAGCCACTGCTTATTGTCTAATGGTCAGGCAAAATCCACTTTGCGGTGAACTGGTTACCAGTACTGTACTACTAATCTTATTGTCTAATGGTCAGGCAAAATCCACCTTGCGGTGAACTGGTTACCAGTACTACTAATAACAACCATGCGCTGTCAAGTCAGTTCTGACTTAATGGCAACCCTTTTCAGGATTTTTCTAGGCAGAGAATACTGAGGTTTACCGTCCCCTTCTTCGGGGTGTGTGTGTGTGTGTGTGTGCCCTGGGACGGTGCAGCTTGCCCAAGGCCACCCAGGCTGGCTCTATTTGCAGAGGCACAGCGCCAGTCAAACCCAGCACAGTGGTGAAAGGTGCCGGTCGCTCCCTTCCAACATTCTTATCTGTAGTGCAATTCTGAAACTTCAGTCCTCAACACACCGTTGTTTGAGATTTAAGTTCCATGATGTTCCCCGGGAGTTTTTACTCTCTTCATGCTCTTGCAGCGCAATCGAGAGTAAACCCGGCAGCTTCCTTGCAGCTTGCTCCTAGGCAGGTGTGCATGGGACTGCAGCCGTACAGCTGCCCCCTCACGGAGCCGGAGGCCCGAAGGTCGCAGTTAACCGGCTTTGTGGTGGCCTCGAAAGATTTCCAAGCAAACTTGCTTTTTGAACTCTCACCGCCTTCCCAGCTCCATGTAGGATATGCGAAAGTCTTGGGCGTGCTTAGCCGCTCCCGGGCAATTTACCGGTTTTGTTTTTGAAAGAAGGTGATCTATCTAATGCCGGGTTGCCAGCGGCTGCAAACTCCCCAATTCAATCCGCTCGTTCTCCCTCCTCATCCTTCCCCCTTGAGGAGAAAAGTAGGGAAGGGCGAATGGCCCTGATCCCTGTTTCTCAACCTCTCGGAGGAAATGGACTCTCCGTGGAAGGGGCGACCGCCGGTTGTAGAAAGCGAGCCGTGGAGAAGAGCGGGGCCGTTTCTATTGCCAGAAGCTGCTGCTAGTTTGTTTAGGCTGCCCCAAGCAAACCCGCGGCCCTGTCCCCATGGAGGAGCAAGGCTCGTTGTGTGAGGGGCCCTAGTAGTGGTTAGGAAGATGTGTAGGACTCTGTCGCAAAACGGTGTGTGCGAGGGTCCCTTGTCAGAGGCAGGAAATAATGTGTGCGGGAGCCCCTGCGTTTCATAGGCGGACAAACTTGGCTTAAAAAAATCAGTGCCCAAAGCAGCCTTACAGCCATAGCGGAAAAGAAATCAAAGTCCAAACAATAAATTGGATTTTTAAAATAACAATAACAATGTTTTAAATATAATAATTTAAAAAACCTGTCCAGCTACAAGGAAATTTCATATAAACTGGTCCAAAAAAAATCCGTCAACAACCCAGTCAGGAGTCGCAGTACTATAAGCAGTTAGAGGTTTCGCTTAAAAAGAAAGGACCGCTCTCCCCAGAAGGCTGCAACCCGGCGCCCCTTCACCGGCGAGGAATTCCTATCGAACGCAACGGGCCTTAGTTGTGAATATGGGTTTAGATCGGAAATGTGCGTGAAACCACGACATTTAGCTTTCGGTTCACGTCTAAATTGGCTTCTTTGTCCCTTCGGCCCCCGGTGGGTATCGAAATCGATTCCTCTGGACAAACGCGACCAGGAGAAACCATTCCCGCTGATTTTGGGTAGGGGCGAACAGGCAGAGCGCAGGGGCGCGCAATGTAACGAGTGGGGGGTCCAAAGGGTGACCCCCTAGGGCTTGCCTTCAAGCAGGGCAGCCCCCAAGACTCGGGGCTTCTCCGCGGGTGGGAAGGTACCGGCAGGTCGACCCTGTCCTCTGGATCTCTCCGTGGAAGACGCCCAAGTTCCCTTGTCTTTCAAAACTTGGCTCCATAATTTTCGGCACCACTGGCCAGTCTTTATACTTGGAAGCGAACCCCAGTGGGAGGAAACAGATTGACCCTCACAAAGGGCCTAAATTTGTATGTTTTTCGGATCTTTTTCGTGCTAGCGCTAATGGGACTTGGAAGTTTGCAACCCTATGCGCACGTACTCGGGAGTTAGTTGAATCCAGCCAAACTTCCTTCCGAGCAATCCCCGCCCGGCGGAACTGGACCGATAACGAATCTGGTGGTGGCACCGGGTCTTTTTGGCGAGGCTGGAGCCGCGCCCGATCCAGCGCGCAATTCCTTGGAAGTAAATCCCATTCATTTCAAACAGTGTCCCCTCCCCTCCCCTCGTTTTTGGTCCAGGTCTGCCTGGTGAGGATCGCAGTTTGCAAAGCGCCATGTACACAGATGGCGCTAAATAAATAAATAGAATCCCAATGATTTTTTTTTTTAAATTGTAGCAGTTATCTCACGGTGGTCTTTTCACTTCTGAAGGCAATCCTAAAACAGTGGATCCTGACTTCACTTGGATTGGCAGTTCGGGCCTACAATCTGCTCCCTGGAAAGCAAGTCCCTCTTGAATCCGATGCACTTTGAATTTGGCGGCAATTTAGTTCAGGATTTGTCAGCGCACTCCCGGCCGGTTTTAAGGGGACTTGAACGCATCTCTCCCGGGTTTTTACCGGCCGAAAATAATTAGGACCACAAGGTGATGGAAATAAAAACTAGGAACACAATCCCGCCCAAGTATCCAGTCTTTTACACCCTTACTGGGAGGAAACGCTGGTAGGAACGGTAGGGCTGACAGGGGCCGACTGTGCGCTAACCACTTTTACAACCCCGTGGGTTTCAGTGAAAGAGTGACACGCGGTGGTCCTTGGTCCCACTGGCGTTTAAATAGATTCATAGACAAGGGCTTTAAAAAAAATATCCTAGATTCTAGCTGAATCTTGCCTGCCCGAACAAATACTCTCGCCATGAAATGCCGCACATTAAGATTGAAATCGTAGGCTGATTTAGGCGGCCCCTTTGTACGTGTGGATGAGACCACCCAGCAATGCCATCAGCCGAGCGCATTCATGCCCTTTCAAGAAAAGGCAGCTCAGTGTAAAATAGGGCAAGATTTCCCTAAATTAAATAGGTGACCCGCGCTTAAAGAATGAATTCCTTGTAAACATGCCCGCCGATTGTCTGGGTTCTAACGGGTATTCACACGCACATCTCTCTCTCTCTCTCTCTCTCACACACACACACACACACACACACACGCACTTGTCCTTACCTGATCCCCCTTCCCCCCCTTCGCGTGCGGATGCCGTTCTCTCCCCCCCTCCATCTCTCTACCTTCTTCTCTTCCCCTTCGAATCAAATAATTTCTATTGCTGTAAATCTTTGTAATGAGGAAGCAACAATCGATCATAGGCAACCGACTTGTTGGTACCCATAGTGTAGTCCAGTGAAGATGACTTCGTGAGCTGTACTTTTAAAAAATGCATTTGAATTTGGGTTGTTTTTTATTTTTTAATTTAAATTTTTATTTTTAATGCATAAGTAAGGGCACGAAACCATCCTTCCTGGGGGAATAGATTAGGCATTGCCAGTTAAAGAGCGATTTTTTCTTTCCTTCTTTCTTTCTTTCTTTCTTTCTTTCTTTCTTTCTTTCTTTCTTTCTTTCTTTCTTTCTTTCTTTCTTTCTTTCTTTCTTTCTTTCTTTCTTTCTTTCTTTCTTTCTTTCTTTCTCCCCTCCTCCTGCTTTTTCTTTCCCCCGTTCAGTCGAGCATTTAATCAATACTCGATCGAGTTCTCCCCCACACCCCTCGTTGATGTAGAGTAGCGAGTTTTCGAATTTTGTGTAAAAAATCTATATGATCAACCCGTTCTTTATTATTGGGCGTGCAGTGGGAAGGAAAGAACAGCGAAACACGCATCAAACCAACCAACCAACCAAAAAAAAAATTGACCCTAGATTCCAATCGACGGGGGCTGGGGAGAGGAAATTCCCAAACAGAAATTCAGGCTTTTCATCGTATGTATATTTTTGGGCTCTTCTGTAAATTATTGTCGTGGTTTTTTAAGAAAAGAAAAACACACAAAAGAAACAAAAATATTTGTTCCTGTTATGTCTGTGCACCTGAGTAATTATTTCTACAAGTTGCGAATTCCACTGGGGGAAAATGTTTTGGTTTTTCGCCCGTTTGTATTGTCTGTGTACAAGCATAATAATAATAATAAAAAAACAAACCCTGGCAAATCGTTCAGACGTTCTTCGCGGCGCCTTGGCCTGAGCAAGCGACGGGTAGTGTAAGAAACTGCGGCGGGGCGGGGAAGTCTTGGGCAAAGGACCTGATCTTTTCTGCCCTGTGCAAGTCGCTTCGCGCCCCTTCCTCTCGCTCGATTAGCTGCTCTGGCGGTGGAAACTCCTTGTCTTTACTCCCTTCATCTCACCCTTTCTGCCTTCTTACTCTTTTCTTTTCCCACGGTTCCTTGGACAAATAACTGGATTTCCTGCTTTCCGGTGCAAATATTTCACCGGCACTGCTTTATGTGTGTGTATATACTGTATATAGATCTGAGTGTCAGACAATTTTTAAAGAAATGATGGTTCTCATGTATTGGCCTAGGCGGGTTGGAGTTGGTTGGAGAGGAGGGGGAAAAAAGGAAGTTCTGTACTGTATAAAGTCGAGGCACAGAACCACTGCATTCGGTTCCCATGGTCTTCAATGGTAGGTCGACGGCCCTGGTTCAAGGTGTGGGTAAGAGGGCCCGTTGCACAGGCAGTGGCGTTAGTTTATTGTCAGTTCCTAGTCTCCTGGCTGGTAAGGTGAATTCGTTCAGCTTCGGCATTTCAGAAGGATCTGTTCTAATGTCTGTTGTCCCGCAGCCATGGGCGTCCGGCTCAGATCTCGATCCATGAGGTTGGGTGGGGTCTGAGAAAGGGGGGAAGGGCATGCCTGCCTGCCTGCCTGGATGTTTGACCTGCTCCAGGCAAACAGCTGCAAAGTGGCCCTCCTCTTCTAACGTCAGGAGAAACTAACCTTCTCCAGCGGCCGGTTGCAACCAATCTTCAGCCTTGCCTTTCCCCAGAGTGGGATGACTCTCTCTACCCAGTAAAAGAGGCCTTTCTGATCCCCCAGATTCTTTTGTGGTTTCCCGTAGACACTGCCTTACTTGCAACAGATTCTGGGGGGGAAAACACGTTTGAGGGGAAACGGGTGGCCTTAGCCCAAAAGCGAGCCTCAACTCCGCTATTGGGGATCTTGGAGTGATTCCCACAACCCACCACTAGGCGGCTCTAGAGGGACGATTATTTTCTTTAAGGCGAATTGCGGCACCAACTATCTTCTCTTCCCTCCTCCCGCCCCCGCCCCCAGTGCTTTGACGGCGACGAAAAGGAAAGGACACTTTTTAAAAGCACAACCCAATGGCCTTGTTTCTTTTCAAAGTGTTTTAGTATTTGTCAGCGGCCACTTATTCTAAACCATTCCGGAGATTTCAGGAAAAATTAGGAAGTCAGCCCTGTCATAAAGTTGCGAATGAAGGGAGAGAGCAGCCCAGCTGTTAGCTTGTCCTGCTCTAGGTGTGATAATAATTAACAAATATTTTTTTTTCCTATCTAATAATGGTTTTAGCTAGGGCAATTGTTATTACCGGCACGGAAGAGCCGTTAAGACTGGAGGCGTGTAGGTAGGTAGGTGCCCGGGGATAAGCCCAATTAAGCTCGTTGAGGTTGACATAGATAAACATGTACAAGATTGCTCAATTACTCTTAGTCAGGCCACAGTTCACGGGTTGGGACCGTCCCTACAATCTCGCAGCGTGTTGAGACTGCAAGGCTACACACGTCGCGGTAGCTTCAATCCCACTGGAGCGAATGGGTGTTGATTTCG